TAATTTCCAAACTATGAATTCTCTGCATTATATTCACACCACACATTGTCCTCAGACATAACATCTCCACTGCCTCCAGCCTTCTCCTCATTGCAACATTCATCACCCATGCTTCACACCCGTACAAGAATGTTAGTACAACTATACTCTCATACATTCCCCTCTTTGCTTCCACGGACAAAGTTCTTTGTCTCCACAGATTCCTAAGTACACCACTCACCCTTTTCCCCTCATCAGTTCTATGATTCACCTCATCCTTCAGAGACCCATCTGCTGACATGTCCACTCCTAAATATCTGAATACATTCACCTCCTCCATACTCTCTCCCTCCAATCTGATAGCCAGTCTTTCGTCACCTAATCTTTTTTGTTATCCTCATCACCTTACCCTTTCCTATATTCACTTTTAATTTTCTTCTTTTACATACCCTACCAAATTTATCCACCAATCTCTGCAACTTCTCTTCAGAATCTCCCAAAAGCACAGTGTCATCAGCAAAGAGCAACTGTGACAACACTTGCTTTGTGTTTGATTCTTTATCTTTTAACTCCATACCTTTTGCCAAGACCCTCGCATTCACTTCTCTTACAACACCATCTATAAATATATTGAACAACCACGGTAACATCACACATCCTTGTCTAAGGCCTACTTTTACTGGGAAATAATCTTCCTCTCTCCTACATACTCTAACCTGAGCCTCACTATCCTCGTAAAAACTCTTCACTGCTTTCAGTAACCTACCTCCTATACCATACACCTGCAACATCTGCCACATTGCCTCCCTATCCACCCTGTCATATGCCTTTTCCAAATCCATGAATGCAACAAAAACCTCTTTACCCTTATCTAAATACTGTTCACTTATATGTTTCACTGTAGACACTTGGTGTACACACTCCCTACCTTTCCTAAAGCCTCCTTGTTCATCTGCTATCCTACTCTCCATCTTACTCTTAATTCTTTCAATAATAACTCTACCATACACTTTACCAGATATACTCAACAGACTTATTCCCCTATAATTTTTGCACTCTCTTTTATCCCCTTTGCCTTTATACAAAGAAACTATGCATGCTCTCTGTCAATCCCTAGGTACCTTACCCTCTTCCATACATTTATTAAATAATAGCACCAACCACTCCAAAACTATATCCCCACCTGCTTTTAACCTTTCTATCTTTATCCCATCAATGCCAGCTGCCTTACCCCCTTCCATTCTACCCACTGCCTCACAAACTTCCCCCACACTCACAACTGGCTCTTCCTCACTTCTACAGATGTTATTCCTCCTTGCCCTATACACGAAAGCACAGCTTCCCTATCTTCATCAACATTTAACAATTCCTTAAAATATTCTCTCCATCTTCCTGATACCTCTGACTCTCCATTTAATAACTCTCCTTTCCTATTTTTAACTGTCAAATCCATTTGTTCCCTAGGCTTCCTCAACTTATTGATCTCACTCCAAAACTTTTTCTTATTTTCAACAAAATTTGTTGACAACATCTCACCCACTCTCTCATTTGCTCTCTTTTTACATTGCTTCACCACTCTCTTAACCTTTCTTTTTCTCTCCATATACTGTTCCCTCCTTGCATCACTTCTACTTTGTAAAAACCTCTCATGCTAACTTTTTCTACCTTACTAGTCTCTTTACATAATCATTCCACCAATCGCTCTTCTTCCCTCCCGCATCCACTTTCCTGTAACCATAAACTTCTGCTGGACACACTAACACTACATTCTTAAACCTACGTCATACATCTTCGACTCCATTGCCTATACTCTCACTAGCCCATCTCTCTTCCAATAGTTGTTTATATCTTACCCTAACTGCCTCCTCTTTTAGTTTATACACCTTCACATCTCTCTTACTTGTTGCTTCTATTTTCCTTGTATCCCATCTTCCTTTCACTCTCACTGTAGCTACAACTAGAAAGTGATCTGATATATCTGTGGCCCCTCTATAAATATGTACATCCTGAAGTCTTTTATCTACCAATACAGTGGACCCTCGGCTAATGATATTTTTTCACTCCAGAAGTATGTTCAGGTGCCAGTACTGACCGAATTTGTTCCCATAAGGAATATTGTGAAGTAGATTAGTCCATTTCAGACCCCCAAACATACACATACAAACGCACTTACATAAATACACTTACATAATTGGTCGCATTCGGAGGTGATCGTTATGCGGGGGTCCACTGTACATAGGCCAACAAACTACTGTCATTATGTCCTACATCATATCTTGTATACTTATTTATCCTCTTTTTCTTAACCCTTTGACTGTCGCAACCCCCAATCCTGAGGTGTCTCCTGGTGTCGCAAAATTTAAAAAAAAAAAAAAATTATTTTTTCTTATGAAATGATAGAGAATCTTTTCCCGATTGTAAAGACACCAAAAAAACGAAATTTGATGGAAAACTGACGGAATTATGCTCTCGCGAAGTTAGCGACCTCGGCAATATTTACAAATCGGCGGTTTCGCCCAATTTGAGCCCTATTTTCGGCTAATTCCATTATTCCAGTCAACCAAACTCATAGCTATTTCTTCAGAACTCCATTTTTTCCATCGATTGAGTACAAGAAAATGCCCATTTACCGATTTCAACTACCCAATAACATGATCAGAAATTTGCAATTTGGCCAATTTCACAAAAATTAAAAAATATGACAATTTCAAAATAAGGACCAGAATGAACAATGCAGACATTCCTGGCTCTAAAATAACATTTTCTTTGTTCATCAGTCATGTCTCCAGGCCCCTCTGATATTACTCTTGCTTTTTATTTTGAAATTTTATTCAAACAAAAAATAGAAGATTTACTGTTATGCATACTACTGCAATACTGTAATAATTGTAAAAATTACATCAACCCATTCATGACTGCATATTAGAATGGCTATTTGGACATTTATTGGACAATGACATCATTTGTTTACTTTTGAACATCGGCAAAAATCAAACATTTCCCGTACTTTGTGCTCCATTTCCAGGTTCTTTTTATAGTAAAATTAATCAAAATCACCTCTATTTCTATAATATAGTTTCCATTCTATCAAATGAGACCAAGAAAACGAGAATACAACCACAAATACTGTACGAAAATAGACCACAAAGTCGGCATTTTAATTAAAAAAACGGTCGGAGTTTTTTTTTTCTCATTATGCACTGCGTGTTCCAGAATTTTTTTTATATGATGCACACTGACCACACAGACCCATTCTCTCACTTGTGGGCCTACCAGCTTTCTCCTGCCTGATTTGAAGCTGCTAGAATTTATGTGTATATATACGTCAAACACGGTACCTCGTAAACGTATATATACGGCTGCGACAGTCAAAGGGTTAAAATATGTATTACCTATAACTAAACCCCTTTCTATACAAAGTTCAATCAAAGGGCTCCTTTTATCATTTACACCTGGCACCTCAAACTTACCTACCACACCCTCTCTAAATTTTCTCCTACTTTAGCATTTAGGTCCCCTACCACAATTTCTCTCTCACTTGGTTCAAAGGTTCATGTACATTCTCTTAACATCTCCCAAAATCTCTCTCTCTCCTCTACACTCCTCTCTTCTCCAGGTGCATACATGCTTATTATGACCCACTTTTCACATCCAACACTTATTTTAATCCATATAATCCTTGAATTTAAACATTTATATTCCCTCTTCTCCTTCTATAACTGGTCTTTCAACATTATTGCTACCCCTTCCTTAGCTCTAACTCTCTCAGATACTCCAGACTTAATCCCATTTATTTCTCCCCATTGAAACTCACCCACCTCCTTCAACTTTGTTTCACTTAGGGCCAGGATATCCAACTTCTTTTCATTCATTACATCAGCAATCATCTCTTTCTTATCATCCTTACTACATCCACACATATTCAAGCATCCCAGTTTTATGAAGTTTTTCTTCTTCTCATTTTTAGTAAATGCACACAGGAGGTTATTTGCCCAGTGCTCCTGGCATTTTAGTTGCCTCATACGACACGCATAGCTTACGGAGGAAAGATTCTTTTCCACTTCCTCATGGACAATAGAGAGGTAAAAAAAAAAGAACAAGAGCTATTAAGAAAAAGAAGAAAAACCCTAGATGTGCGTATGTATATATATGCATGCGCATGCATGTGTAGTGTGACCTAAGTGTAAGTAGAAGTAGCAAGATATACCTGAAATCATTCATGTTTATGAGACAGAAAAAAGACACCAGCAATCCTACCATCATGTAAAACAGTTACAGGTTTCTGTTTCAGTCACCTGGCAGGACAGTAGTACCTCCCTGGGTGGTTGCTGTCTACCAACCTACTACCAAGTGTATATTATTGCGTGTCTTTCTCACCTGCGTTCCGTGCAGTCCAGTCCAAGGGACTGTAACCATACCCGGTAATTTAGGTGCTTTATTATATGTACTTATACATGGAGTGAAAGTTCTCTGTATATTCTGCATGTCTGCATTCTGCCTGCTTTGAAAGGGGCCATTAGCATACAGCAGTACTCCAGCCTAGAGAGAACAAGCAATTTGAAAAGAATCATTGGCTTGGCAAATGATTCTTTTCCTAGCAGATGAGGTAGAAACATTGTTGTAATCCTTGAAAGTGAGATTCTCTGACATTATCACTTTCAGGTCCTTCACATTAGTTTTTTGCTGTGTTGTGTGGATGGGGATTTAAAAGTCTATGCAATGAGCTTTTTTTTTTTATCGAAAATAAATTGGAGATAATTTTCATTGAAGGTAGAGCATTCAACAGGAGAGCCGTCATAGTGAGGGCATCAGGGTTTCAAAAAAAGAGGTTAAGTTACAAAAAATGGTTATTTGTGTCTTAAGTCAAAATTATAATGAAGTACATGGAGATCAGTTACTTGATCTTTATATTGTTCTCCCAAGAGTAACTTTTGTTTTTGCCAAGAACATATCTTGTCAGCCAAATGAGCCGGGGTCATAATAATCATTATTCACCCGTTAATAATTGTTGTATTTGTCAGGAACGTGTGTATGTCAGCCAGACGAGCCTTGATCATAATCAGCATTGCCATACTTCACATCATGACCTCGGGTTTTGATCAGTTTGTCAGCAATGTTGTCCAAGGAAATGGCATGCTTCATCAGGTAAGAACCATTTATTCCCAATAATCATTTTTGTCATGTTATTTTTTCCTTTGCCAGTTTAAAAATCCAGATGTCTTATGTTGCTACCATTTTTTGCTGCACAGATTGTATGTCTGAAAATCTTTATAGTTAAATACAGTATGTTAATAAACTAACACTTAATATTGACAAAACCTTCTACATTATGTTTGGGAACAGAACAGGTGATGCCCAGCTGAACATTATGATTGACAACGCTCTTGTTGCTAAACATAATGAGGGCAAATTCCTGGGCCTGCACCTTGGCAGCATCCTAAATTCAACACCCATATCTAACACACAGCAAAAAATTTATCCAAAACAGTTGGGATCCTCTCCAAGATACATTACTATGTACCACAATCAGCCCTACTCACTCTATACTATTCACTCATCTATCCCTACCTCACCTATGCTAATTGTGCCTAGGGATCAACAGTAGCAACCCACCTAAAGCCAATAATAACCCAACAAAAAGCTGCAGTAAGAATTATCACACAATCCAATGCTAGACAGAACACCCCCCACTCTTCAAAGACCTAAACTTACTGTACAAAACATTCACACTTACTACTGTGCAGCCTGAATTTACAGAACCATAAATTCTAATATTAACCCTGAACTAAAACACTTTCTTGATAGTTGCAACAGGACCCATAGACACAACACCAGACACAAAAATCTCTATGAGGGCCCTGCTTTATGGCGCTTTGCTTTATGACACTATGCTTTACAACACTTCACTTTACGGTGATTCCCTAATATAGACATTTCAAATTGCTAACCAAAAATTCATTTATACGGCTTTCTGATATGCTATTATGGTGTCCATGCACCACTTTATTTGTTTACATCTTCCATGAGCTCCATGTCTATCAATTATGTCCAGAAACTTTCCAAAATTTCAAGTGTTGTAAAGTTATTGTGTATTTTATATATACTCTGATAATTGTACTTATGTATACCTGTACCTAAATAAACTTAGACACTGTGCTGGCACGTGGATACACATTAAATCACTAAGAATGTCTCACTAGTGCTGAAAATGCAATAATAATAATAATTGCTCTGGGGCACTTTAAGTGTTGTATATTACATTATTATAGACATTATCATTAATCCACCTAAGATATTTTTTCAAACTTATACAGAAGGGCCCCACTTATATGGCAGGTTAGGTTCCAGACTACCACTGGAAAGCAGATATCACCATAAAACAGAGCACCATTTTTTCACTTATAAGAACATAAAAATGCCAGATAACAAGTTTACACTAACATATACTAAACTAACATAGAACTAGGGTGTGTAAAAGTAGAAGGTTGAAAGTGAACATAGATAAGAGTAAGGCAATGAGGGTATCAAACAATTTAAATAAAGGAAAATTAGATATCACATTGGAGGGAAGATCACAACAATGTATCTACTGCATCTGCTAGAAAAATGATAGGATGGATAATGAGAACCTTCAAACTAGGAACGTCAAGCCCACGATGATTCTCTTCAAATTGGTTGTTCTCTCTAGGCTGGAATACTGCTGTACAGTAACTGCCTCCTTCAAGGCAGGCTGACCTGGAGAGTGTACAAAGAACTTTCATGGCACACATAAGTACGATAAGGCACCTAAATTACTGGGAACAGTTGAAGTCCCTGTCAGTTGCATTCCCTGGAATGCAGGTGAGATACATGATAATATACACTTGGAAACTCCTAGAGGGATTAGTACCAAACTTGCACATGAAAATCACTCCCTATGAAAGCAAAAGACTCAGCAGGAGATGCAACATTTCCCTAGTGAAAAGCAGGGGCGCTACGAGTACACTGAGAGACAACACAGCAAGTGTCAGGAGCCCAAGACTGTTCAACTGCCTCCCAGCATACATAAGGGGGATTATCAGTAGACCCCTGGCTGTCTTCAAGAAGGCACTAGACAGGCACCTAAAGTCAGTACCTGACCAGCCATGCTGTGGTTTGTATGTCAGTTTGCGTGCAGCCAGCAGTAACAGCCTGGTTGATCAGACCCTAATCCACCACGAGGCCTGGTCTCAGACCAGGCCGTGGGGGCATTGACCCCCAAAACCCTCTCCAGGCATACTCCAGGTATATTGTAATAGAAACACGCTACACATCATATAGACATAATACATACCATAGTACAGTGGACCCCCGAGTTTCGGCAGCCTCGACTTTCGCGAAATTCGACCTTCGGCGAGTTTTTTTGGAAAAATTTGGCCTCGAGTTTCATGAAAAAACTCCTCGTGTTTCAGCGACCATCCGGTACCCGTTCACCCGTCACCGCGCACACAAAGCCAGTCTCCCACGCCATTCATGCTCAGTGTGCCATTGTTTACCAACACGTGACCATCACCCCGCGTGTTCATACATTTCATAATAATCCATTGTTTTTTGTGCTTGCAACTGCTAAATAAGTCATCGTGGACCCAAGGAAAGCTAGTGCAACCCCTTTGGTAAATAAAGTGAGTGACGGGGATGTGGAAGAGTTGGTGGAGGACCACATGGAAGAGGTAACCACTAACGAACTACAAGAGCTTCAACTGGAACAGCATCAGACCACAGCCGAGGAACTTGCTTCAGAGGAGGAGGAAGAGGGAGTGGATGAGGTGCCTTCTTCAGTGATTAAGGACATGTGTGGAATGAGTTGCAAAGTTTTGTTGAAAAGTATCACCCTGACCAAGCTGAAACAAGCCGTATCTGCAACATGTACAATGACAGTGTTGTGTCCCACATCAGGGAAATCTTAAGTAAACGCCAGAAAAAGACCTCTTTGGATAGATATTTTGTGTGCCAGGGGTCCAGTGACTCTCAAGTTGTTCCCAGTGGCATTAAAAGAAGAAGGGAAGTAACCCCAGATAAGGACTTGCTACCTAAAGTCCTAATGGAAGGAGATTCTCCTTCCAAACAATAGTGTACACCTTCCTCCTATCACCTCCTCCCATCTTCCATCCACCCAGAAGTTTTCAGTAAAGGTAAGTGTAATGTTATTGTTATTTATTTTAAATGCATGTGTACTTGATTTCTGATTGTTTTCATTATGTAAATATTTATTTAATTTGAAAAAATATTTTATTTTAATATTTTTGGGTGTCTAGAACGGATTAATTTTATTTCCATTATTTCTTATGGGGAAAATGGTTTCGAGTTTCGTGAATTTTGACCTTCGGCGGGCTCTCTGGAACGGATTAATCAGAAACTCGGGGGTCCACTGTAGAACAAATTCCTAGGTAGTAGGTTGGTAGACAGCAGCCGCCCAGGGAGGTACTACCGTCCTGCCAAGTGAGTGTAAAACGAAAGCTTGTAATTGTTTTACATGATGGTAGGATTGCTGGTGTCCATTTTTGTCTCATAAACATGCAAGGTTTCAGATACATCTTGCTACTTCTACTTATACATACTTAGGTCACACTACACATACATGTACAAGCATATATATACACACCCCTCTGGGTTTTCTTCTATTTTCTTACTAGTTCTTGTTCTTGTTTATTTCCTCTTACCTCCATGGGGAAGTGGAACAGAATTCTTCCTCCTTAAGCTATGTATGTTGTAGGAGGCGACTAAAATGCCAGGAGCAAGGGGCTAGTAACCCCTTCTCCTGTATAAATTACTAAATTTAAAAAGAGAAACTTTCGTTTTTCTTTTTGGGCCACCCTGCCTCGGTGGGATATGGCTGGTTTGTTGAATGAAGAAGAAGTAGAACAAATTGACATAAATGTGATGTGGTTGCCAGGCTGCTTGTAGTAGTGACGGTAAGAGTTCTGTTTTCTCTAGTCCAACATCAGAGAAGCTGTGTACAGTATGGTATTACTGGAGGGGGGTAACTGTAGAAAAATATTCCTTTCATGTCTTTACTCATAGCATCATTTGCTCTAAAAATTATGTGTTGAATGAGAATGTGAGCATTGCTGTTATTTATTCGGCTTCATCAACATGAAGACAACTTGTACACAATGTAAGGTATTTGTATTGTGTGGAAAAAGTTTCACAAATGCATACATTATGTGAAATTAATGCATATGAACTGTGTTCATCTGACCACTCATTCGCTCTTTTTATTCTCTGCATCTCTCACATTCTCTCTCATTTAAGATAGCATCTAAAAGTAGATGTGATAAAAAGAGGAATCGTAAGCCTCCTGCTTTAAATGCCAAGTTAGAAATGATTAAACTCAGTGAACAAGGTATGTCGATGGCAATAAACATATTAATAGTAATAATAACACTCTGGGGTGCTTTAACCCTTTCCGGGTTTCCGATGTACTAGTACGGCTTACGCACCAGGGTTATTGACGTACTAGAACACCTAAATTCTAGCGCCTTCAAATCTAGTTAGAGAAAGCTGGTAGGCCTACTTATGAAAGAATGGGTCTATGTGGTCAGTGTGCACAGTATAAAAAAATCCTGCAGCACACAGTGCATAATGAGAAAAAAAAACTCCGACCGTGTTTTTGGTTTAAAACAGCGAATTTGCAGTGTATTTTCGTATGGTATTTATGGTTGTATTCTAGTTTTCCTGGTCTCATTTAATAGAATGGAAGACATATTACAGAAAGTGAGATGATTTTGATTGGTTTCTTTATGAAAAGTACCTTGAAATTGAGCTCAAAGTAGCAGAAATGTTCAATTTTTACCAAATTTCAAAAGTAAACAAATCATGCCAAGCATCCAATACACGTCAACTGGTGAATCTAATATTCTTTCACAAGTGCACTGATATTATTTATACCATTTCTACACCATTTCTGTACTAATTCAGTAGTCTGCAAAACAGTAAATCTTCTATATTTTGTGAGAATAAAAATTCAAAGCGGAAAGCAAAAGAGATGTAAAAGGGGCCTGGGGACGTGACTAATGAACATAGGAAAGGTTATTTTAGTGCCAGGGATGTCTGTCTTGCTTTTTCTGGACCCTATTTGGAAACTGCCATCTTCTGAAATTTGTGTGAAATTGGCAAAATTGCCAATT